GAGACTGACTGCTTCTAACAACAGCGATGTGAAATAAGTAGCACAACTAAGGTTTTTTTATTTTAAAACCTAAAAAGGTACAAGAATAACATTGCTAAAAATAATGAAAAACCCTAAAATACCCTTAACCTAGAGTAAACAAACAGCGACTAATACCACGGCGCAGTTTTGGGGAACTCAGTTGATTTTCCGGCGAGAAATCGCATAATTTCATCAGGTATATAATATTATCTAATTTGAGCTGATTAATTTATTCACCAGATTTTTTTTCTTAGTTTTACTTGTTTATGAAACGATTTTCCCAATTTTTCAGCAAGTGAAAAAAAAGGATTTAATCAATTTTTTTCGTTTTTGCATTTTTGCCTGAAGGATATATTCGAGCTGAAAGTGTTGTTCAATTCCGTGCATTGATTCTCTATGGAGGCAGATAGGTATGTGCCTCTTCTAGCATTTTTTTATTGGGAAAAAGGATAAATATACCCGAACTATGGCAAATGATATGTAGATACCCTCCGCCATATTTTTGGGATATTTGTGCCTCTGCCGTCCAAAAACTAAAGCATATATATATGCTTTAGTTTTTGGACGGCAGGGCACCAATGTCCAAAAGTATGATGGACGGTATCTCCGTACTATTATAGTTCGAGGTATATTTGTCATTTTTCCCTTTTTTATTTGGTCTTAGAATTGCTTATTTCATATTCACATTTTTGTAGTCATTCTAACTGTAATTACACACTAAAAATGTGTTCTTTAGGGTGTTTGGTATATGGAAAATGTTTTCTAGGATATAAGTAGATTTCTTGCTTATTTTCTGATGTTCGGTAAGTAAGTCAAAAAAATGTTATCGCAAGAACATTTATATGTAATTTAGGAAGTAGTGTTGTTAAAGGCACGTTGAATGATGTGAGGCTCACACAATGTGTTGAACGCTTTGCTTCATATCATGTGCGCTTTAGTGTCGTCGTCAAAATTCTAAGGCATACTTTTCCTTATTGTCAATGAGCTTCTACACTAAACAATTGATATTTTATTATATCGTAATTTTGTTTCAATTTCTTTGTTCATATAAGTTTCATTCATGCTTATAATTATTAGTCTTGGACTAAACATATATATATATATATTTGTATGTTTTCTTTCTTTGTACTGTTTTTCAGTAAAGTTCATGCTTTATTTGCACTTTGTGCTTAAAGCCTCAACATAGCTTAAAGAGTTTTTGCGCTTTTTGCTTTTTGATAACACTGCTAGGAAGATACTATGGGGTGAGGTGAGATTGGGAGTTTATGGGGGTGAGGCATGGGTGGACTCACCTTAGGCGAAGGGTGGTCATGAAAATTATGTGGTGTACGGAGGTTAAATGTTAGTTATTAGAGGTGTATAAGAAGAAAATTTACATAGTATTCACCAAATTATTTGCTCTGCCACTGGGATGAGGTGGGGAGTAGGGAGTTGGGGGCTTAGGGGGTGGGAGGTGGGGAGGAGACAATGAGCTTGTAATGCTACTTATGGGACGAAGGACAATGTAAAATTGTTTTCCGAATTGATCTCTCTTGCTTAGACTTGTTTGGGACTATGGCGTTGTCGTTGATTTCTATTGCTTATATACCACCATTTGAAAAATGCAATCAATCTGATCACTTTGCCTATTTAGCATTAATTAATTGATAGAACCAAATGTAATGACTACAAAATTATGGCGAAACTGTGTGTTATCTTCACTTAGTTTGTAACATCTGTAAAAAGAACACTACACATATGTCTATACTTTCTCAGAATGATTATACTACCTAAATTTCACTTTTTTTTTTGAAAATTATGCCTATGTTTGACATACTTACAGATGTTGGTTTTCTCTTGCTCGTGATTTCTTGTGTTTATGTCACTTGGTGATCTAAAGTCTCAATTTTTAACCAGGTTAAATTCTCCACACACTTCTGCGATTTTCATTGATGTTCTAGGTCATCAGCTTCAGTTTTGCCAGGTAATTAGGCCTTTGAATATAGTATGTAGCCTTTCTTTTCTTTTGGCTATGTTAGTGACTCCTGACCCACAGTGAGATTCCCTATTTTCATGCCATTTGAATTTTGGCATCTCTAGTGAGGTAGAAATGAATAGCATGTTTTACCAAACACCGCGTGGATATAAGTTTTTTCAACTTGCTGTTTCTTGTCAAACTTTTTTTTTTTACTACCTTCACCTTCTTCCCGATATTGTATCTTGAATTTTATTATTGGTCTTTCTTTTTCACTTTATTTTATGACAGGATCCTAATTCGAAGCATTTAGGCACTACTGTTTGGGATGCATCTATGGTTTTAGTAAAATTTCTGGTAAGGTTTTAAGTCCCCTCTAGTATGCTTCAACTTCAATTTATTCAACACTGCTTTGTTTTGATCTGCTACGCACAAAAATGATATGAGTTTCTATTTTACTGTAAGACGTGAATAATTTGTTTATCCTTGCTACCATACTGTATTCTTTCTCTTTTCCATTTTTCTTAAACCTGACTGTGATTTTTTATTTTCCTTTTTCGTTTTCCCTTTTCATTGTCTTTCAATGCTGAGTCTTTTTCTTCAGTTATTCAAGCTTATATATATCTACATGTACATGTATATACTTTTTTGAGCACTTCTACTCCTTCAGTTTTGACGTTATTAGCTGGAAACTTTTGATTTGACATTGTAGGAAAGAAATTGTCGAAAGGGGAGGTTTTCTCCATCTAAATTGAAAGGAAAGCGTGTGATTGAACTTGGGGCAGGTTGTGGCGTAGCAGGATTTGGTAGGCTGCCTTTACTTTATTAGACTCAATTCTTTTAGATACCATCTACAGTTACATTGTTCTGTGTCTGAGATGGAACAAATTTCCACAGGCATGGCATTGCTTGGATGTGATGTAGTTTCAACTGACCAAACTGAGGTTTTGCCATTGCTAATGAGAAACGTTGAGCGTAATACTTCCAGGATCATGCAGACAATCTCAGATCCAGGTTTCAAATTAATGTGTCATTTGGATCTTTTTAGCTTTTTGAACTGTATATTCTCTATCATTTGTCGTACTTTTGTATGCAAACTGAACTTTGTTCCATTGATTTCGTCAAATTTAAGTTTGAGAGGATGTGGTTGTATTTACTATGATCTGACTGAAAGCTCTATTCCTTGTAGATTCATTTGGTTCCATACAGGCTGCAGAGTTGGACTGGGGTAATGAAACTCATATAAAGGCTGTTAGCCCTCCATTCGACTATATCATTGGGACTGACGTTGTAAGTTTTATCATCTATATCGTAGTTGAATTCTACTTGCTCCTTTGCAGACCTTTGCTTTGGACTGAAAACTGAGAAGAAATAGCTGTCTTATTTCTCTATTATCTGCACTAATACTTCCATATCTTTACTAGGTTTATGCAGAGCATCTTTTGGAACCGCTTTTGCAGACAATAATTGCACTGTCTGGACCAAAGACAACAATTCTGGTGTTGTATCCTCTCTAATGTTTTATAGAACTTACGAAATTTACTTTCTTTATCCAATTCTCTTTCTTCTCATTTATAGTTGGGTCATGAAATCCGATCAACAAATGTCCATGAAAAGATGCTTGAAACGTGGAAGAGACATTTTGAGGTCAAAACTGTTCCAAAAGCAAAGGTAACTAGGCCATAGAATCTCCTATCATCATCAGTTATGTGTATATTGTTGGAACTTAGCATTTGTAAACGGTTTTGTTGATTTTCTGTAGAAAGGGATCCCAAATAAATAATCATATCGATTATGGCTAAGTTTTTGGTCCTGAATTCTCCAACCCATGAAGCTGATCTTTTATGTGGACCTATTTTTATGCAGATGGATAGTACATACCAACATCCAAGCATCCAGTTATACATAATGAGCTTCAAGTCACAAGGAAGTACATCGGAAATTGTTAGACAGATGGCTCAGCAGCAGACGGAAGAGATTGAGGAAACAGAAACTAAGAATGGATCAGACGAAGATGAAAGTAAATATGGGATTAATCAAGGTGACGCGACTGACAATGAGGGCAAGGTAGACAATAACTTGGTTATGGATCTTGAGAACAGAAAGCTTAGTGATTGGGAAGCTAGAAGATGTGGTGCGATGGCTGCTAGACTTCTTCGTGATGTCAAGATAACATAAATTAGAGGTTAGCAGATTTCCTTGTTTTAGTGCAAATATCTATGAGTTTGCCTTACTTCTCTAACATGCATGCATATCCTGCAAATTAAACATCCTAGAATCAACCCCTCTCCGAGTCTACAACAACAACATACCCAGTGTAATCCCACAAATGGAATCTGGATCTTTCTGCATGCATCCCTGGACTCATCAAATGAAGACATCTTCTATAACACGTCTCCAATTTTATCAGATTCAGGAAAATGATTGACAAAGACTTCCCATGGTTTGGTTTTCCTAGGATAACTTATCTATGGCGTTTTGTTTGGCAGGTCCTAAAAAATGGCATTACCGCTACCAACATTGTTGCACACTGAGCTACAAATCAAAGGACATTTCGGCAGGATTGTCTTTTCACCAGAAGTACACTAGTCTTTTAAGTGCATCTTATGGTTCAAGTTCAAACCCAAAATACACTAGATGCAAATTACAAGCATGTTAGACCTCACTTTTTTTAACTTTGTTTGGGTTTTTAAAAAATGTATCAAGAAAGATGTTGATGTTTTTACTAATTTAACAAGACAGATGATAGATACTCAATTTAACCAAGATTCAAGGCTGATAATCCACTCCATGCATGTGTAACTTTATCTTAGAGGTGCTTGCTTTATGCACAGTATTGTATGGTTTTGAAAATTCAGTTTTCTATTGTTATAAATGTTAATCATATCATTAAAATTAAGATGCTAATTTTAAAATTTGGATTTTGATTTATGCAGTAAAAGTCATTAACCGCAATTTGTTCGACTTCAACTTATATACAGTAGAGAATTATGACTTACACACAGTGGTAACAACTCTTTCATGCTTGAAATGACAAAATCACTAGTGTAGATAGAAAACAAATACATGTCTAGAGTAATAGAAGCATGCATTTACTTAAAACTTACATGATGAAACAAAACCAAAACATTTCCTCAAAAAAACAAAAACAAAATAAACTACTCAACGTAGTGCATATTAGCATGGTTCCAGTAGCAATCAATCATTTTGGTTCGTTTACGACTGTCAACACCTAATACCTCAAATTCTCAAACCATAATAATACGAGTCATCTCAACAGCTTAAACATGACCAATAGTGTTTTTTTTACATTCCCTCCCTCCTCCGTGGGGCGCAAGTGATGATTTCGTCAACCCTTAGGATCATCTCAGCAGCCTCAGTTGCAGAGAGCAATACTGCCTGTTTGACTTTGAATGACTCGGATATTCCTAGCTCTGACATATCTCCAACCTGTCAAAGATGCCCAGTTGGATAAGTAAATTTAGACAAGTACTACTCTTAATAAGCAAGCAAGAATATGATCGTCGTATGCACATGATTACAAAAATTTAATAGTGCCATGGAACGGAAACCAGATGAAGAACAAAAACAAAGGAAAAAGAAAGAAAGCCCCCCTCCTGAGTCGGAAGAGAAAAGGACAGTTTATTGTTGCCTGTCCCTTTCCATTCAAGCCACACAAGGAAAAAAACTTTCCGATCTATCTCTTCCATTTCAGTTAATGTCAATTAACTCACCTATTGCTTCTTATTTCTATAGTTTGCAAACAACCTTTAGGCAATGAATAGATGAGGTTGTAAGGCCACCAATAGCTGCTACCATTAAAAGTATCAGCAATAGACCTATTATCAAACTAGTAAAACAGAGGGCAAGAGGTAGGAAAACAATGACTTATCCACAAGAGAAAGAGAGTCAAACATTGACTTTCTCAAACATCGAGCTGCAAACAAATTAAGCACCAACTATTTAAAGTTAGATGGTGGTTAGGGTGAAGGAAAACAGATCTGACTAAATTTTCCAACTAGAGCTAACCTTGGGATATCGCATCAATTTTGGCTTTTATCATTTCCATCTTGCACTTATTTTAATGCTTAAGGCAAAGTCGAGCAAAAAGAAAGCAGAGACAACAAAGCTCAGAACAGCTCCATACTCGGAAACTATTCTGAACTCATAGCATGACAACAAAGTTCATTTCAAAAATCTTAAATCAGCTACTCACAGATCCAGAGATGACATCAATTCCTGCATTGCTTTCGTCCTTGTGGTGTTCAGCACGAAGCTGAGCAATCAGCTCAGCACTGTCTAGCCCAGCATTGTCGGCAATGGTGGTTGGAATTGCCAAAAGTGCACGGGTGAAAGCCTCAATTGCATGAGATCTTTTACCTGGAGTCTTCTTAGCTAGTTCATCAACCGCCTTAGCCATCACCATCTCGGGCCATCCACCTCCAAGTAGAACCCTGCTGTCATTTACTGTCTGAGATAGTACACACAATGCATCGTGCAGAGATCTTTCAGCTTCATCCAGTACATGAGGGCTGAAAAAAAGAACAAACAGAGATGTTAACAAGGAAACACAGCACAAGTAGAACATGTCATCATATTTAAAACCCAGTAAGGAAAACACAAAAAGTCCAGAAGAATGCAAGGTGGGCCAATTACCATCAGTTCCATTTTCAGAGAACACAAGCACTAAGGAGTCGAGCAGGTCCTCTAGTAAAAGTAAAAACAAACAGTCGAACAATGCTACTTTTTTTCTTTTGCATAAAAAATAACTATCCCTAGACTTCTAAAACAAATTTAAATGCTCAAACTACCTTTAAGAGGGGGGAGGTAAAAATTATGCGTCTACAATGTCTTGTTTTAATACTCACACAAGGTACATCACAGTTATGCATAACAAGCTTGCACAAGCAAGTGAAACATATGAAAATAAACGGCAGACACCGTAACACCAACTCACCTTGCACCTCTCAGAACAATTGTACATGCCTGTCCCATTGCAACCCCAGAGAAGTGGATCAGCTTATCTTCGCCAATCATGATCTCCTCGATAAGTTTGCAGTGGCCAAGTTTGACAGACTCTGGGTTATCAAAGGTTGATGCAATTTCTCCCCCAGTAACTAAGCCCAAACGCTCAATACCATCAAAGTCAGCATGCTCTATTGCAAGTATCCCAGCATCAGCAAATAGTTCCTCTGGGAAATTGTAGATCAGCTGTCGGTTAACAAAGCAATTTATTCCATGACTAATGATCTTTTGCACCTTCTCTCTCATTTTTTCCTTTTCAGCTGCTTCCAGATCAGCAACCTTGGCCATTGAGTCAACTCGAACACGTGCACCATATATCTTCACTTTATCTGTATCCATAGCAGTATTTGCCACCAAAATCTTAGCATTTTCTATGCGTTTTGGTTGGCCAACCCCAATCTTTTGTCCAAATAAACCTACAAAAAGAAACTTTACTACCACTTCAAAAGAGAATATGTAATAAAAGGCTTGTCCTAGACACATAGATTTGTCTTTCATCAAGAAAAAGGAACTACAGCAACTTATATTTCATTGAGGAAGGGCTGGGGGTAACAGGAAAAACTTATAACTTGTACATAACGCCAGAAATTAATTCTTAATCAAGTCTGGATTATATGGTTTGGGATCATTTAATGTGGATTGAGTGCTTCAGTTACTCTAATCTAGAGAGTAATGGAAGAAACAAGCACCAATCTAGCCAAGTACTGGAATTAGTTAAGGCCAAGAAATGTAGGCGCATGATGGCTCAAGGCAGACTCTTCTACAATTAGTTAAGGCCCAAGAAAACCAACTATACGGACATCGGGTTCATCAACTGAAGGATACAGTAACAATTGCAGTGGAATCACATTGGATAAACAGGCTGTTTTCACTAATGTAAACAAAGAATAAAGATGCAAGAATCAATAAAGCACTACAGTCATATGTCTTCAATCAGAAATTACCATTTTTGAGAATGAAGAACAGATAAATCAGAAGAGCCTAGACATGGGAAGACTATGCATATAGTAGTAAATAGTTCAAACCAGAAGAATACTCACCCTTCATCTAAAAATGAATCCTTCAATGACCCTCCAGGTTTCTTAATTATCTGGATTGCTTCAAGATTAGTACTTCCCTGTTATTACAATCTATTTAGCAAAAGATTGAAAACACGATATATGAATAAAACTAACAAAGGAAGGGGATGGGAAGAGTTAATGAGAGAGCACACATCTTTCTACCAATAGATAAGTGATAAACTCATTTTCATGTTAATTTTTCACATTTGACAATATAAAGCAGAAGTTGATGAATTTATTTGCTGAAAGAAAGTGAAAAAGTCCTAATTTGGCGAAACCAAATCTCTAACCCTTCGAAGAAAAATATTTAGTGTCTGACCAAGGAAAAGAAAAAGACTGTTTATTTATAGTTAAGGAAGAGGAAAACTAAGTTTCATTCACATTAGAATTTTGAATAATGCAGATCGACCAAGATCACACGATTAAAAAGAAAAAATATTTTCTTTGCAAGTCGCTAAAGCAGATGAAATATTGACCTTTAACCTCATAACCGCATCAACAGCCAGTTTTGCAAAATGCTCCTTGTCCTGAGACAAGATTTTTGAGCTCAAAGTAGTCCTTGCAATATTCATCAAGTCTGATCTGAACTTCTCTGCAACAAATAAAGGAAATGACCATATCATAATGAGAAAAAGCAAGACAAATAAATAACTCTTGGACTGATTGATTATCAGCTACTAGCATCCAGAAAAAAGTTATCTTGGCATTGTTCAAAGAGAAAGTGGTGTACCAGTCTAAAGAAAATCAAAATCATTATATGCCATTAAATGTGTAGGTTCTCTGCTATGATGTTACATACACAACTCAAGCAACAATACCTGCATCCTGCTTGTTATCCACGACCTTCTGCTCCAGAACATTGCGGGCACACTCAGATGCCATCCGGAAACCTGATATAAAGAAACAAATAAAATATTGAAAGGTACCACTAAGCATGAACCAGATTAGGTACCCCAGATACTATCAACTTAACATATAACTAAGAAATAGGAACTAGCTACGTTTTGGCTTGATAAGCAGAAAAGAAAAATATTTTAGCTGATTTTTGGATGGAAATGTTGGGGTGTGAATGAATTTATGCCGCCTCTTGGCAATATCTCCTTTATAGTTGTTAATGTTTTTAAAAGTAGGTATCTGAGCCATCTTACATCGCACCTCGACTATTCTACCAGGTGTACCTTCTACCTCCTTACAAAGCAATCTCTTCCCACCAAGACTGACAGACGGGAAGAAATCAATGAAGAACAAAATTTTCCCAAGAATTCAGCATTCAATCACTACACATGTTACTAATGTACAGATACCTAGGAGGCTAGGTACTGATGTTCTGGTGCAAACTTTAAGCCTATCATAGCATTCAATATCATCCAAGGATAAATAGTCGAGCTTTTTCTAGATTAACAACCGTAAAGCATCGGAAAGCAAGAACACTAGATGCTTCAATAGATAAAAGAAAAGATGCCCACTTAAAGACAAAATAGCAAGCAAGTACTGCAGTAATGGTACACAAGAAAACTCAATAAAGCAGTCTATAAGCAATTTGTACTCTACTATTCTGAATATAAGAAGCTTGAAGGAAGTGTCAATGATATACATACACATGTGTATGCCCGTACAAAACATGTTAAGACATCAGATCATCAGAACAAACCTGCTATAATTGTCATTGGATGAATTTTAGCGTTTACCAGCTTCTCTGCCTCCCTCAAAAGTTCTCCAGCCAAAACGACTACTGAAGTTGTCCCATCACCAACTTCATCATCCTGTACCTTGGAGATATCTTACAAAGGGTCAAGGTATAACATTGCATACAATCACATCATTTTGTTCTCCAGAATCTTTCCTATGATGAAGTTCCAGTGTCAATCTCATTCAACTATCTGTAAAAGGTCTTAATTAAGTAGTATATATCTAGCCTTTCTTTTAAATGATAAACCGAAAAAGAAAGTAAGTTGTGTAATCTTCCAATGAACCCCTATTACCTGTTTGCCATTTGTCCAGATGAACCTATTAAACACTATGTTCAGCGGATTCGTTTTTGGATACGATCCAACTTTTCCTTCAACAATAGTGGCCATAGAGTTCAACAACCAACTAGTTACACTATTATTTCAAAAGAGAGCAGAACTATCTAACGCCCATAAAAAAAATGCTCACTTACTTCAGGGAAAAAATACAAGGAACACAAAGACATCAAGGATACCAACAAGGACCTTGGCAGCTGGATTATCAATATGAAGGGACTTCAAAATTGTTGCACCATCATTGGTGACTGTAACGCTGTGTCCTCTGCCTGTTGATTGCAGAATTTTGTCCTGCAAATTTTGAAACAAAATGTAGTATCTATCAAAACCACAATCCTAACTCTTCTCATTCCTTAATACCGGCAAGTACATAATCAAAAACTTAGTTCTCACCATTCCCTTAGGTCCTAAGGTCGTCTTTACCAAGTCAGCAATTGCCATTGCTCCAATAAAGGATGCCTAAATTTTGAAACACTCAAATGGTTTCAGAAAATCGAAGAATAATAGTCGTAAGCAGCTATATAACATGGCAATGCAACCAGTGAGCTTGTCTTTCTCACATGATGCTCGATATTTGGGTAACAAAATGAGACTTACCATCCTAGCTCGCTCACCCTTTTCCTCAGTGGCTTCATCTTTGAAGAGTTTGTCAATCTGAGAACATGAAAAAAAAAACATTAGATATGGAATCCACAATCTAACATTATTTAAATAAATAAAAAACTTACCGCCATTAGAAAGAAATTGGAGATACCAAGCAGAGTCCCAAAAGCTGAAGCTTAGCAACTATTCAAAACAACAAAGCAGTGGTAATATCAGAACACTGCAGAATCAGTTCAACAATAATTTTAATTATTCAAACCGTTAAAAAGACAAAATCTACTGCCCTTTTTCAATTCAAGTGTGAACCCTAAACAACTACCGATCTACAACATGATGTAGAAGCATTAGACCATGCAACCCAAATCTTAACAACAACAACATACCCATTGAAATCCCACTCCCACAAGTGGAGTCTAGAGAGAGTAGAGAGAGTAGAGTGTACCCAAACCTTACCCCGCCTTAAGAGGTAGAGAGAACAAAAAAAATAGATAGTAACTGAACAGAAACTACAATACAATAATCAAAGTACAAAGAACAACAGAGAGTAACGGAAATCACAAAAACTACCAAAGCAATAATACTATGACTACTAATATGAAAGGCTGCCTACTAGCCTTCTAACCTAATCCGTGTCCTCCACGCCCTCATGTACTCAGCAATCCAAATCTTAACACAAGAAGAAATGCTTATAATCACAACAAAACAAACGAAATAAAAATCAAATCTTTAATTCAAAACAAAGCAAAATCAGATCATTTAACCAATATCCATTGCTTAAAAAGTCTCAAACAACAGATACACGGTGAATAAATCAGCAAAAAAAAACATACCTAAAGTTACATAAAAATTCAAAATTAGGGCAAAGGATGCGTAGAAACCTAACCAAATCAAAAAGAGTTAGTTCACTACTATGAGAGATGACGGAAAAGATGAAAATGTACCTGAAGGTATATTGCTGTCGATGGTGGCGGCGCCGGAAAAAGGTTAAAGCAGTGAAAGTGGAAAAATGAGCAAGGGTTCTGGAGGAAGTGAGAAGAGCTTTGCTAAAATGGAGGTTTAAATGGTCTGATTGGTAAATTTTTTTAGTTTTTGAGGGTATAATGATAAAAATGAAAAAATTATGTGGGCTTTCTACTTGGGCCTGGTCCAATAAGAGCAAGTGGACTCTCCCACAATGAAGTAAGAGGGTAATTGTATGGTTTGTCTTTTCCAAATGAGTCTGTATAGAAAAACTACATAATTAGACATATTTCACTATCATAAATACTATTATTACCTATAATTTAAAATATTACGTATCTTATCACTAATTAAGAGTTTTCTATCATATATTTAGAAAGATACACTTAGATACGTGTATTTTTGCTATCAAATACACTAAAATAGGAGAGGCAAGTGAGATAGGGAGGGAGGCAAGCGAGATGTGGAGGGAGGCAAGTGATATTCGTTATGTATTCCAAAAACATGTAAATCACACCATATACATTTATGTGTATGTATCTGGTGATTTGCATGTATATGGGATGTCAGATACATATGAGAGTGGCGAGCGAGATGGGAGAGAGGCGAGGGAGATTTGTTATGTATCTTAGATACATGTGAATCCACTTGGATACAATATATTTATAACAAATTACACCTAATTTTGACCTCATATATCCCAATATGGACGTATCTTAACATATATGGACACACCAAAATCTGATAAGATACGTAATATTGCAAACTAGAGTGTATCTAAGTAATTAGCTCCTAAACTAGTGGGATTTATGCAAGTTCGTTCCCCTTCTTTTAATTTTCAACCTTTAGATTAGTAGGTTTGTATTTTTTGTTCCCTAGAAATCAAACTTATGTCTAAGCAATTCATGATTTTTTTTATAGACGTAAACATAATTTGTAAGTTATTATAATGCAAAAATATAATCTTATGCCCCGTAAAAAAATTATTTGCCTCAAGGAGAAAAATTTAAAACAAAACATAAAATGTGTAGATTGATAAATTTGTTGTAAATCTAAAGTAAAATAAGACAAGAAATATAAAACAAGAAGAACAATATGAGATAACTTTTTTTCTTTCAAGTGTTCATCAAATCTTCAAGTGTCTACAATATGAACCCTTATGCCTCTATTTATAGTGTAACATAGAGACATACAAAAGGTTAGTCATAAACATGAAATTAACATGAATATAATGGGGGAGGTTATGGAAGTGAAATGTTACAAGAATAATGGTTATGAAGGTGGAAGTTATGGAGGTTATGGTTATCTACATAATGGAGGAAAGTAATGGAGTAAATTCTTGATGTAATGGACATCCACAATATATTATTTTATAACACTCCCCCTTGGATGTCCATAGATAATATGTCTCGTTAAAACCTTACTAGGAAAAAACCCCGTGGGAAAAAATCCTAGTGAAGGAAAAAGAGTACACATATCTTTTAATACGCTTTGAATGTTGTCTCGTTATAAACCTTACCAGGAAAACCCAATTGGGGTAAAACCATGGTTAAGGAAAAGAGTACAACGCGTATTTTTCTCCCCCTGATAAAAACTTTACTTGATATCTCGAAAATAATGCATTCCAATATGGTATCACAACTTCTCAAATATTGATGTTTGCAATCTTTAGTGAATAAGTTTACAAGATTATCACTTGAATGGATCTTTGAATGTCTATCTCACCATTTTGTTGAAGATCATGTGTGAAAAGGACTTTTGGTGAAATATACTCTGTCCGATCTCCTTTGATTGTATACTCCTTTCAATTGAACTATATATCATTTTCGTATATGGTGGCTGGAATATCCTTTTCAAAAGAAAATCACATATTTCTGAATATAATAGATCATGATTCCAACCAAACTCACTTCCGACTTTATTCATAGATCAATATTATTTCTGCATGATTTGAAGAAGTGGTTACTAATGTGATTCTTTGAATTTCCAAGATATCGGTGTGTCTCCATATGTAAATAATAGTCCATTTGCGATCGAGTTTTATGCAGATCAAATAAATAGTCTACATCTACATAATCAAATCATTTCTGACTCAGGGATTGATCATTTCAATTTTATTGAAGCTCGTCTTTTCTTTTGAAAGAAAATCACACATCTTCTATATGTTGAGTCACTTGCTTTGTTAGTTTCTTATCATAACTTGAATGATAATATGAAAATCCTTCCACATAACTTTCATTATGTATATCAAATAATCTTCTAGCATTTGCATAACCAACAATCTGTAAGTGCACCAATTGCACTAATACATGACATTTTAAATTATTTTCATGAGATCAAAAATATTATTTCTCTGTGTTAAGCCGTCTCAAAACCATTGGGTACTCAATGAAATTGCTTCAAGACCTTTTAAATCCTTCAAGGATTTTCATATAACTTTCGTCATCTAGTTAGACATAATAATCATTCATTATGCATATTCAAGTATTTCATCTATTGCCAGATTGAAACAAGTTACGTTGCATCCACCACTGGAGAATATATCTCTCGATTCCAATACGGCATAACTTATCGAGATCTCTTCATTTTTCATCACTTTCAGGTACCTGAACCTTTTCCAAGGTTTAATGAAGTGTTATGTCATAGTGCTCTTTCAAAGCACTTACCTCATTATCATGACCATTTTGATAATTTGCTCTTCTCCTTCCTTAAGGAGTTTTACGTTTGGAATCGATTGGTCTATCACGCTTCTGGCGTACCATAGACTCTGTCCTTCAAGGACTATTTATTAGAGCATTTGCAGCTTAATTAAAATATTGGGTCAGCAAATATATCTGGCAAATTATTTGCAACATTTTGCAATTGAATTATCTCTTAAACTTCAAGTTCACATTTTTTTTAATGAAGATCTAGATAATTCACCCCACACATAATTTCAGCTGCTAAACATATCTCCCCCTAATGTTAGGAAATATAACATTCATCCCAACCTCATTTGGGGATCCATCTTTGTGCGTGGTGGAGCAATAAAATCATATATGCACACATCAAATTTTTAGATGGAAATTATTTGGTTCCTGACCCTGAACTAATTGTGATGGGAGAACTTTGTTGGCTTGATGCATCCACGTTAAATAAACTCATCTCATACCAAATTTTATATGAGAGATTTGTTCTCATAATCAATGGTCTAACTATAATT